GACAGCGAAGCAGTAGCAACAGACGAAGGAGGAGCAAGTGTGGAGCCTAGGCTAGACAATGCAAATGTTCCTACGCCTGACGCAACAGGGGTGTCTGTACTATACACAGGTGCTACGCCTAAGCTAGAGAACACAGGGTAATAAGATCCGGACACACTAGAAGCGTCAGCATATAGAGAATGCAAGGCAGAACTAATATGATCCATGTCTAAGTCAAAAAAAGGCACACCGTGGCGCAGCAGACTCGACCAGTAAGGTAGGTCTGGGGCCGGGCCGAAGCGGCAACGGAAGATGTTGTCGAGGCGGCGGAAGCGGCGGGCGGTCGGGTGCGGGCGGTGGCACACACTGCCACGTAGGGGCCCAGTCTGGAGCTGGTACTTGCAGCCCACTGCACCGAAGTCGCTGGTAGATGCCGAGCTGCGAGGACCGCCACCTCGGCCACCACCTCCAGGGGCTCTCGGCCACCCCGGCGGGAGGCGGGCCCACGTCTGCTGCTGCGGTTGCGACTGCTGCGGCTGCTGCTGCTCCTGGACACCTGCCCCAGCCCCCTCGTCAGAACCACATTCGCCGCCACCACCACCACCACGCCCTCCCTTGGGGCCGCGACGACCCCGACACTTGCGCTGCTGCTGCGGGAAGGCCGCCGCTGCGGTCTTAGGGGCAAGAGCAGTCATAGCGACCGCAGCGGAAACATCTGCGTACGTGCACTAGGAGGGAGCATATCCCTGAAATATAGGGACTGCCGCAACACCGCTCGACTGAGCAATTGTGGGCTGGCGAGTCTCTATCTCAGAAAGGGCAGCGACAAAAGCGGTCAGGGTGAGGTCACTAGGGTGCTGGCTAAGGAATGGTCGCGGCCAGTGGCTAAGCGGTTAGGGAGGCGCATGGCAATAAGGTACAGGGTAGGGCAGAACGGCGGGGGGAGGGCAGTGAGCTGGGCAGTAGTGCTAGCAGCACGGTAGCTAGTCTCTAGTGCATGGAGGTGAGTGGCGAGATCAGCGACAGTGGGAAAGCAGAGAGATCGGGGAAGACCATGGGGAGGATCAAGCAGCCAGCTGAGGCGGAGGCGGGCATGGAGTAGCGTGCAACTACTGCATCTAAGAAGTCTTTGGCATTCGCTACAGCAGTGTAACACGTACACTCAGAAAGGTGAAGCACATGACTAATGGCTAGCTGTGCTTCAGCATCGCGAGAATCCCAGACAGCGAGAGCGAGTACAGCAGCAGCAAAGGCCTCACTCTTAGCAGTGGTGGGGTCAGCAGGGAGGGGATCATGGGCGGAGGGGCGAGGAAGCAAGCCATCAACATGCATAGGCAGGGAGTGCCCATCCTGGTGCTGACCTGTCAGGTGCGGGCGGAGATCGACAAGCCAGGCGGCGAAATCGATACGTGCCCCTCTGCGTCCAGACGTAGCATGGCGAAGTACGGCGTCTGCCATCGTGCAACCACATCGGCACCGGGACACAGCGGCACAGGGACACAGTGGCACATTAGCACAGAGACTCAGCTGCACAGTGAGACAGTAACGCGGTGGCAAGACTCTCCGGAACGGAACCGGACGGAAGGCCGAGGAGGGCGAGCGAGGAGACTGCGGGCGTGCAAGGGGCCGAGGCACACAAGGGGCCGGCGCGTGGAGAGGGGCCGGCAGGGCGCGTGGGGCCGGCGGTGCGCAGGAGAGGGGCCGGCTAGGTGGTAGGGGCCGGCTAGGCAGTAGGGGCCGGCTAGGTGGTAGGGGCCTGCTAGGTGGTAGGGGCCGGCTGGGCGCGAGGGGCCATCGAGGCGCGAGGGGCCGGCGAGGCGTGAGGGGCCGGCTAAGGGAGAGGGGCCGACTGGGCGCAAGGGGGGCTGGTTGGGCGCCAAGGGGCCGGCTGGGCGCGAGGGGCCAGCTAGGGCGCGAGGGGCCGGCTCGGCGCGCAGGGCCTGCTGGTCACAAAGGGGCTGGCTAGGCGCGAGGGGACGGCGGGCACGCCAGGGGCCGGCGTACGCGTTAGGGGCTGGCGAGGCGCGGTAGGCTAGGGCGCAGGGCGGAAGCGGGTGGGTGGGGGGGGGGGGGGGGGTGGGGACCTAACCTACGCATGATACTATATTAGAATACTAGAATGATAGAAACAAGAGAGTAGAAGGAAGAAATAGGGTTGGAGACGTACTCTCTAAGAACACACTCCTATCTAGCCTATAACTACTACATATAAAGATATGTATAAGTTGACACCCCCTTCCCGCCTACGCTTCCGCCCCTAGCCTTAGCCCTAGCCTTAGACCATGCCCTAGCCCGAGCTGGCCCCGTCCTGCCGCGCCGGCCCCGTCCCGCCGCGCCGGACCCGCTAGACCGCACCGGCCCCGTCAAGCCGCGCCGGCGCCGTCACGCCGCACTGGCCCATCACGCCGCGTCGGCCCCCCTAGACCGCGCTGGCCTCGTCACGCCACGACGGCCCCGTCACGCCGCGCCGGCCCCATCACGCCGGCCCCGTCACGCCGCGCCGGCCCCACTAGACCGCACCGGCCCCGTCACTCCTCGCCGGCCCGGTCAGACCGCACCGGCCCCGTCACTCCGCGCCGGCCCCGTTACGCCGCGCCGGCACCGCCACGCCGCAAGGGCTCCGTAACGCTGCGCCGGCCCCGTCACTCCGCGGAAGCCTCGTCATGCCGCGCCGGCCCCGTCACGCCGCACCGGCCTCGTCACTCCTCGCCGGCCCCGTCATGCCGCGCCGGCGCTACCATACGGCGCTGTGCCGAGTTGCCGAGCCGCTGCGCCACGCCGCCGAGCCGCGGAGCCACGCCGCGGAGCCGATGTGCCACAGAGTCGCGCCACGCCGCATCGCCGTGTCGCCGAGCTGCCGAGCTGCCGAGTAGCCAAGCCGCCGAGCCGTCGTGCCGATGAGCCGTCGAGTAGCCGAGCCGCCGCGTCACCGTGTTGCCGAGTTGCCGAGTCGCCGAGCCGCCGTGCTGTTGTGCCGCCTCGACCTGACGGCCTTGGTTCCCCCTTCTGTGCCTGCGCTCCCGCCGGCCATCTCCACCGCTGCTCTCTACCGCCCTCTCCTCCTCCTCCCCTAGCGGCGGTCAGCTGCTGCAGCCGTGACGATGGCGGACGATGTGCTCTGCCTGGACGCAGAGGGTCGGGCGATCGACTTTGAGGCGTGGCTCGCCGACCTCTGCCGCTCGCTGAGGGGACAACGCCAGGATGGCCAGTCTTTGGCCGTTCACATTGACGGTAAGATCCTCTGCCCTGACTCGCCTGCTGCCCTCTATGACACCCCCATGCCCGCTGAGCGTGACACCTTTGCAGTTGCTGAGCTCGCTCGCTCCATCTGGGAGTCACGTGATGCAGTTGCGCAGCTTGCTATCAATCGCTCCCTCTACTTCCTTGCCACGCTCCTACGTGAACACCTAGCCACTGCCCGCGACCACTTCCTTGCCCTCCACCCTGTTGACCTCACCCTTACTGACTTTGTCACTACCGTGACCGCGATAGAGACCCGCCAACGCACGATCGCTCAGTCGAGCAGTACTGCGGCGGTCCCTATCTTCCAGGGCTATGCTCCCTCTCAGTGCACTTACTCTGACGTCTTTGCCAATGTTGCTGAGACGGCCCTTGTTGCTGAGTCAGCTACGGCGGCCTCAGCACTGTCTCGTTAGGGTAGGGGATGCCGGGACCGGGGGGGGCGTGGCGGCGGTGGCGGGGGTGGCGGAGGTGGTGGAGGGGACGGTGGTGTAGACGTGGGGACCAGGGCTGGTGTCCCGGAGCAGCAGCAGCTTCAGCAGCAGCACCAGCCGTAGCAACAGCAGCAGCAGACGCCGTGGGCGCCCCCATTCGCCGCGGTGGACTGGCGGTTCTGGTGGTGGAGGGGGGCGCAGCTCGGTGTCAGGTGGAGGTTCCACTGTGGTCACCTGCCAGTACCAGTTTCAGTCCGGCCCCCGCCGCGGCACCGTCTGTAACCGCCCTGGTCACACCGCTGCACACTGCTACCGCCGCCTCGACGACCTCTTCCGTCTCCGCTTCGGCCCCACGGCGGACCCCCCCCACTGGTATAGCCTGATGCGTCTTCGTGTGCCTGTCTTTGAGATGGACATGGATCAGATAAGGTCGGCTTTGTATGCCATGTATGCTGATGTCTCTAGTGTGACTAGACCCAATTACCCGGTGTTGCCTAGCGTAGGTGTGTCCCCTGTGTGTAGTCTAGGTTCCCCTGCTGCATCAGGCGTAGGACCCCCTGCCTTGTTTAGCCTAGGCTCCACGCTAGCCCTTCTGCCGGCGAACGCTACTATTTCACTCTCCTTCACGCACGACTCAGGAGCATTTGCCTGCTTCTTCCGCGACCAACCTTCGCTCACGCCTCTTGCCATCCCTACCGCTGTCGCGCTTGCTAACCCCTCCTCAAGTCCAGTAGTTGCCCGTAGCTCCACCACCCTTTCCTGTCCGGCGGTCCCCTCGGGTTCTCTTATAGGCATGCACATCCACTCGTTCTCTAGGAACCTAGTTGGTGTCGGCTGACTTCAGTACCTCGGCGTCACCACTACGTTCCCCGATCACGAGCAATACGCGGTCGGTACCGAGGCCGCCACTGGTGCTCCTCTGACCACGTTCCCCTGGGAACCTGTGTCTAACCTATTTACGCTTGACACTGCGTCCCCCCGGTGAGGGCGTCCCCTCAGGTGTCTGCATCAACCCATGTCGTTGCGGCTTGCTCATGTCGATCGCTCACTCACCCGTCGCTGCTGTGGCACCACCGCCTAGGTCATCCCGCACTCCCGAGTCTGCGTCACATGTGATAAATGTGTAGTATTCTGTGGTGTAGTTTGCTCTAGCTGGTTGTGGGCTATTGGGTTTTGGGCAAAAGGACTTGGGTTGGTTGGCAAGGTTTGAACTCGTTACCTTTCCAGCCCATACAACCTCAAATCCACTACAACATCTTTGATGTTGCAGTCATGGCACTTGAGAGTGTTGGGGTTTGGTCTAGGGCAAGGGTTGGTGGTGTTTGACAATCACATACTGCAACTTTTCCAGATCGAACTGCTTCCCTTCTCGTTTTTACTAGGTGATTCATGGCTGCCTAGCCAAATTACCAGAATACCCCCTCACACTGATTTCGTCATAATCGGTGGCTCAGATCTTGGTTATGAACGTGCTTTACCATTCTGGAAAGTAGAGATTAAGACCTTTCCAACGCGTATAAGCTCATTTCTAGAAGTTACCTGAGCAGCACGCAATGATCCGTTGATATCGTCAGACTTAATCTCTAATTAGTTCTCTCCAGATTTGCACGATTTCCATCAGTGGTATCAGAGCCACGGTTAGAGGACGTTCTTTCCTCCATTGGAAGAGATCTAGAGAGGCTTGAAGTGCTCCAGATCTAGGGTTTGACATGGCCCAAAAGTTGGATGGCCCTCCTAGGTTTACCGGCTCGGACTTTTCGCTATGGAGGTTCCAGTTCACACTATGGCTAGGTATTAAGGACCTAGAAAGTGTGTTGGATGGATCGGAGAAGCGACCACGAGCTGACTCTGGGGAGGCGTCTACTGGAGCAACCAGCCAAGTGGGATCCGGGGCTGGGGGAGCATCGTTGAGTGGGGGGAATGAAGGAGGAACTGCTGCAACTCGAACCGGAAGGTCGCAACCAAGTCGCGAGGAGTTGCTCAAAGCTCAAGAAGCATGGGATCGGAAGGATCGCCAGGCATTTCAGTACCTGTGTTGGGCTTTGGAGGGGCAACTTGAGCTTCTTAAGATGCTGATTGACCTGAAGGGGAAGGAAGGTGCAGCAGCTGCAGCTTGGAAAAGAGTGCAAGATAGGCACTTGCAGAAAGGGCTTCTAAGCGTGCATACTTGGCGGAAGCGGGTTTACACCATGGAGCGGAACTATGGGGAGGGGGAGACCATGGTTGAGTATCTCCAGAGGGTGGATGAGAATGTGAGGGCTTTGGAGGAGCTGGATTACACGGTAGATGAGAAGGAGATCATCTATACTGCACTCCAAGGGTTGGATCAAGCGGCTAATGAGGCATTACTACAGTACCTTCACCTCGAGCAACAGAAATGGACCAAGGTGTGGATTTGGGAGGTTCTAATTTCTGATGAGGCTCGCAAGGTTGATGCTGGAAGAGGCCTAGAAGGAGGCATGGGTGCAGCAGATAAAGCTTCCTTCAGGAAAGGCTATCAACAGCAAGGAGGTGGGGGGAAGAAGAAAGAGTTGGACAAATGCCTTGTGCCCGGATGCAACAAAAAACACTCTTGGAAGAGTTGCTGGAGTAGGCCTGAGGGATGGAAGCCTCACGGCTACTCTGGAGAGGCCCCACCAGTGACCAAACCTGATTGGGTGGAGAAAAGGATGAAGAAGGGGCTCTGGAATAAGAAGGGCAGCAAGGGAGCAACGGCGGCAGCTGCTAAGGATGAGAAGGGGAAGGGGCAAGACGACTCCTCCGATGATGGTTTCTCGTTTCTCATGCTAGGGCAGGATGCATCTCTCGCTGGTCGTGCATTGGCTGATCCCAACTTACTGGTTCTAGACTCTGGAGCAACATCTGGGATGCTTCCTCGCCGTGATCTCTTCACCTCCTACCATCCTCTCCCACCAAACTCTAGGAGAGTGATTGTTGGGAGCGGAGATTTGCTGCAGGCAATTGGCATCGGCACGATCACCATTAAGGGGAAGGAGGGGGAGCTAGTGGGTGTGAAGGGGGTCCTTCACGTCCCTGGTTTGGCTGCAAACCTCCTTTCATGCTCGTAGCTGGCTAAACAGGGATACATCTGCACTTTCACTGAGGGAGGGTGCACTATTAGAAAGGGTGAAGCTGTGGTGATGGAGGCAAAGCTGGACAAGGGTTTATACCTTGTTCCAGCTTGTGTGCCTAATTGTTACAAGGCACATATGGTTTTTTCTGAGGAAGCCGCTTGTAGCACTCGCTGGAGGCAGGTGGAAACGGTGTCACCTGAGTTGCTACACCTTCGCATGGGGCAAGCGGGGAAGCAGCAACTACTGGAGTGTGTGAAGAAGGGGGAGCTGAAGGGGGTGGAGGTCAAGGAAGGAGCTGGGCAGCAGAGAAAATGTCCTGACTGCACATCTGGAAAGCTGCCTAGAACCTCATTCCCTATCTCCTCTGATCATGCCTCGACTCCCCTTGAGCTTGTGCACACGGATGTGTGTGGACCGATGCAAACTCCTGACCGGGAAAGGGGCAGCAGGTACTTTGTCACCTTTCTTGATGATTTCAGTCGACTTAGCTGGGTTATCTTGGTGAACACCAAGGATGAGGTGGCAAAGGCGTTTAAGCGGTGGATACGCTATGTGGAGAGGGAATCAGGGGCCAAGGTAAAGGTGTTAAGGTCAGATCGGGGTGGAAAGTACCTTGGGAAAGAACTTCAAATCCTCTTGGAAGAAAAGGGTATTTCCCACCAGCTCTCTGTACCTTACACGCCGCAGCAAAATGGGGCAGCGGAGCGGCTTAACAGGACCTTGACCAGTTTGGCTCGGGCCATCCTTGCCCATGCCGAGCTTGATAACACTTGGTGGGGGACAGCAGTGCAGTATGCCAACTGGGTGAAGAACAGGATGGGCAGCAAGGGGCTTGGAGGCAAGAGCCCATACTCCTTATGGACAGGGAAGGTGCCGAATGTTTCCATGGCACGAGTGTGGGGGTGCATGGCTCAGTATAAGGTTCCTGACCAGCAAAGGAGGAAGCTAGATCCTAAGGCACAGTGGGGGATTTTCCTTGGGGTTTCTGAGAGGAGCAAGGCTTGGGTGCTATGGAGTGTAGCTGACCAGCGTGTGATGGAGAGCCGTGATGTGATTTTCCATGAGGGGCTGAATTATAAGGGGTGGAAGGAGCGTGGTGCAAGCCATAGTGGGACTTCCATTCAAGACCCTCATACGGCCTCTATCTTTGAGGGGGCATGGGAGGACCCTGGAGATGAAGGGGAGGAGCAGCAGGAGGAGCCAGAACCAGCTGATTCTAACCATGAGGAGTCCCGAGAGACAGATTCTACCCCTCAGCCAGCAACGCAGGCCGATGCGCATGATGATCAGCCGGAGCAGCATGTGCCTTCAACTCCATCGAGAAGCAGTCGGCAGGAGTTGTTGGACCAGCAGCTGTCCAAGACTCCGAGGACTCCAATGAAGAGGGTGACTTGGGAGGAGAAGCTGCGGAGGCTGGAAGAAGGAGAGGCAACACCTCTGCGACGCAGTGCTCGAATTTCCCAGCCACCTGAAAGGTTTACCCCGGGGCACATTGCACGCATGCATGATCATCTTGTGTCTGATTTGGATGATTGCATGCTTGTGGACATGCATGGGCATGAGTATGCTCTTGATGTGTGTCTAATGGGTCAGGTGCATGAGCCTAGGTCAGTCCACGAGGCGCTGAACCGTCCAGAATGGGTTGAGTCCATGCATGAGGAGCTTGAGTCTCACAAGGTAAATGGATCATTTGAGCTGGTTGATCCAGCAGTGGTACCACCTGGTTTGGAGGTCCTCAGGTGTCAATGGGTTTGGAAATACAAGCATAACCCTGATGGTACCGTTGAGAGGCCTAAGTCCAGATTGGTAGTGATGGGAAACATGCAGAAATTGGGAGTACACTATGAAGAAGTGTACTCTCCAGTTGGGAAGCATGCGACCTTGAGAGGTATGCTTGGAATTTCGGCTGCTTTGAAGCTTGATATCCATCATATGGACGTCAAGACAGCCTTCCTCCATGGGGATTTGGAAGAAGAGCTTTACATGCGGCAGCCTCCTGGTTTTGATGATGGGTCTAACCGAGTGTGTCGCCTCAAAAGGTCCATTTATGGGCTGAAGCAAGCCCCACGACAGTGGTACCTGAAATTTGATGAGGCTCTCATGGATTTTGGGTTTGAGAGATCTGAGTGTGACCCTGCCTTGTACCACTTTGTGCGAGATGAGGAGAGGATCTCCTTATTCCTCTATGTGGATGACCTTTTGCTCCTATGCTCTAGTAAAGTTTTGTTAGATCGAGTGAAAGACTTCTTGTCCTCGCGTTTTCGCATGAAGGACTTGGGGGAGGTGAAGTACTACTTGGGAATGCAAATTGAGCGTGATGAGAGTGGTATCTTGATTCATCAAGAGAGGTACATTCTTAACATGCTTCAGTCCTTTGGTCTTTCAGAGGCCAACCCCGTGCGTACTCCTCTCCCGACAGGCTTTGATGTGCATGCCTATGAGGATGAACCTTTGCTGCGAGATGAGCTGGTCAAGCTCTACCAAAGCATTGTGGGATCCCTCATGTATGCTTGTACTACCACACAGCCACAGATTGCATTCGCAGTCTCACAGCTATCTAAGGTCGCCTCTTGTCCTAAAATGTTCCACTTGCAGGCCGCTAAGAGAGTGCTGAGGTACCTGAAAGGTGGTGTCAAGTCAGGTATCTTCTTCCAAACACAGCCCCAATATCAGGTCCAGCTGGTTGGCTTCAGTGATGCCGACTATGCTGGAGATTCCGCAAGTCGCAAGAGCCACAGTGGGTATGTGTTCTGCCTGAATGGGGCAGCTATCTCTTGGCAGAGCAAGAGGCAGCCCGTGGTGGCAGTCTCTACCACTGAGAGTGAGTACATAAGTCTGTGTCAGTGCATTCAGGAGGGTGTGTGGCTGAGGCGTTTGTTTGGGGAGTTTGGCCATGCTCATGCTGGTGGTGTGCCTGTGTTTGTGGACAATCAGTCTGCCATTGCCCTTGCACAGAATGCATGCTTGCATGGCCGCACCAAACACATGCAGGTCCGGTGGCATTTCATTCGGGAGATGGTGGCTGCGGGAGAGGTGATTTTGCAGTGGTGCCCCACCAACCGTCAGGCTGCTGATATCCTTACCAAGTCTCTTCCATTTGAGCGCCATGGTGTGTGCATGACCTTGCTCGGGATGCAGCCCCATGATGACAGGGTTCCCGCAGCAGATGCCGGCGTCTTGGTGCTCCTCTCCTTGGCGGACTCCATGCTCTGGGTGGCCCCAACCCATGAGCAAGGGGGAGTGGTGTGAAGTCTTTTGCCCTATGGTGTTGAGCCACACCCAGCACGAGCAAGGGGGAGTGATAAATGTGTAGTATTCTGTGGTGTAGTTTGCTCTAGCTGGTTGTGGGCTATTGGGTTTTGGGCAAAAGGACTTGGGTTGGTTGGCAAGGTTTGAACTCGTTACCTTTCCAACCCATACAACCTCAAATCCACTACAACATCTTTGATGTTGCAGTCATGGCACTTGAGAGTGTTGGGGTTTGGTCTAGGGCAAGGGTTGGTGGTGTTTGACAATCACATACTGCAACTTTTCCAGATCGAACTGCTTCCCTTCTCGTTTTTACTAGGTGATTCATGGCTGCCTAGCCAAATTACCAGAATACCCCCTCACACTGATTTCGTCATAATCGGCGGCTCAGATCTTGGTTATGAACGTGCTTTACCATTCTGGAAAGTAGAGATTAAGACCTTTCCAACGCGTATAAGCTCATTTCTAGAAGTTACCTGAGCAGCACGCAATGATCCGTTGAGGTCGTCAGACTTAATCTCTAATTAGTTCTCTACGATCTTGTCGTCGGTCTCCTTGCGTCGCTCCCTGCCCTTCCTCCCTCACCTGCGCCGCCGTGCTCGCCTTGTGTCGAGGGCCGGCTGCGTTGTGCTCCTCACTCCTCCTCATTTCCCCCTACCACTGCGCCACTCCAGACCCTGCACCTGGACATCTGGGGCCCAGCCCCCGTCCCTGGGCCGCGTCACGAGCGCTACTTTCTAGTGCTTGTCGACGACTACACGCGCTACACCACAGTGTTTCCCCTGGAGCGGAAGGCCGACGTGCCTGACGTTCTTATCTCGTGGGTCGTAGCTGCGCGAGTCCACCGCTGCCTCCCTGTGCTGCGTCTACACTCCGACCGTGGCGGCGAGTTCGCCTCTGGTCGGCTTGGACAGTTCTGTCGTGCGGAGGGCATCACCCAGTCGTACACCCTACCAGACTCCCCGCAGCAGAATGGGGTCGCTGAGCGATGCATCAGTTTGGACATGGAGGTGGCTCGTACCTCCATGATCCATGCCTGTGCACCCAATTTTCTGTGGCAGTTCACAGTTCGCTACGCCGCTCACCAGCTTAACCTGTGGCCGCATTCCCAGAGGCCGCAGGTTTCGCCAACCCTTCTCTCGACAAGGATCCTTGGTGACATTCTGCGTTCCATGTCTGGGGCTGCCTTGCTCACACTCGTGCCTCTGGTACGAACAAGCTCACTGCCTGCACTGTCCCCTGTGTCTTCCTTGGCTTCCCCCTTAACGCGTATGATTGGCACTTTTACCATCCGCTGTCTCACTGCTTCTTTCACTCGCGTGATGTCACTTTTGATGAGTCTGTCTCCTTCTACCACCGCATTCCCCACCGAGGTCTCCCGATTTCCCCGACCCTGTTTTTGGTTCCCACTCCCTCGGTAGCCCGTGCTACTCTCCCCCCCTGTCCTTTCCTGACTGGTGTGTCTCATGTCACTCCCCTCCCGTCGGTTGTCCCGGTTGAGGAGTCGGCTGAC